AACCACGATCCAGGTTTCATAATTGGGGATCGTTCTTACCTGTGCTGGAGAAACACATGGACAAAATTTCATCTTTCCTAAAATGACGAAAGTCTGGCCGTCACTGGCTCTCGCTCTATTAGTTCAGCATATTATTTCATTTTTCGATTTTTCGATTTGAATTTGTTGGGGTTGCACGCGGAGTGTGCATTGAACCTCGCAAAATTTTCTAATAAATAAATGAAGAGTTGATTAATCGAATAAACTACATTTGATAATACTACTTTTGACACCGTGGAGGATTGGGAAGTATTCTAAAATCGTTTTCCCATTTCAGCAATTTATGTCAATTTTAAAAAGTTGCAAACGATTTGTACTTTGCGTTTCCTTGGCTCGATTTTATTCCTGTTTTCTTCAGATTATAGAAGAAGAGTTAGTTTTTGAATCGAATTGACTAAATTTGAAACCAGTCGACGGTTGGCATGTGTTCTGAAATCGTCCTCAAATTTTTCCCATTTTCGAATAGTGGTGGAAAGCAGTTTGTATCATAGGTTTCCTTGCCTTGATTTTAATTTTGTTTGCTTTAGAGCGAAAGTAATGTTTAATCAAATGGACTACATTTTGTCCACCTCAAGTGTTTCCAAGTGCTCTGAAATCTATCTGAAATTTTTGCCATTTTCGTAAAATTATTGTTTAAAATGTCTTGAAATTAATGATTTCCAGTTATGGTGCCGTAGAAATTTCACAAAGTACTTCAGTAGAACCTCTCTGGCATTGCTATACATTCATAGTTTTAGATACGTGTAATATTTGTATGTAAACAATTTTTTGTCGCAGTTTGCGAGCGTATCGCAAGATTGATAGTGACCTCGTGTTGTCGCGGCTGGTTGTGTGCATTGCAGTGCGGATGCAGTTCCATTCCGATCAGCGAGCGAATCGTGCGTGTTCATTGCGACTAGTTCTGTATCTTTAGATAAAAATTAAGTAAATCGATTTAGGTATATTTAATATACAATCGACAGCATATAATAATTCCACGACATATATCGGAATCGGGCATGATCGAGATTTTGCAAGTGTAACTACATGCATTGAATGTGCGCTAATCGCGAGTTACCTGTTTGTTTATCCGTGAGTGTTAACTTTCCGTCGGCTGTCTGTTATCTTCTCATAATACATAGGAATAAAAATAATTAATGTACAATATCCATCACGAAAGTGTTGGAGATGCATCTGTATTAAGGCAAGTCTTGAAATCTGTCAATGTTTTTTTTTAAATAATATATATTATTCAATGTTATTATTCAATAAATTGTATTTTATAGTAATATTATAATCTGATTCATATTTCTTTGTGATATCCTCTTTGTTGTTTTCAGGATAAGCGTCTTAAATCATATTGCGTATGAATCTTGTGTGCGTGAAACGTGTACAACATAGCTAAGGCTTGTGTTGTTGTTTTTAAAAAGTTGAATAAAGTAGAAACATAAATAGAAGAATCAAATATTAATGATAAAAACACTCGGTGGTCGAGTGGAGACGTGCACCTGCTGGCATGCTAGCNGCACCTGCTGGCATGCTAGCAGACACGGATCGAATCTCAGGTAGAGAAGGCATTTTTCTCAAATGTAAAAATATCAGGTGTAATTTGAGTTGCATATATGAATAGCAACGAAATATAAGGAGAAACGAGAACAGAGAAATGGAAGTAGGAGTAGTAAAGAATAAGAGAAGATAGAAGGAAGAGAACAGAGAGTAGAGTAGAGAAGAGGAGGAGATAGAAGAAAGAGAACAGGGGAGGATCAGATTTTTAAATTTTTTGGCACGTGTCGTTATAA